CCAGAGCTCTCTCAGGGACCTTCCCTCGGAAGACTCTTGGAGGCGGTTTCCAGGGTGTCGTCTGGCCTCTCGAGGGTCTCTTGGGGACCCGATTCGGGCCTCTTCCGGGCCCTTCTGGGACGTCTGGCCTGGGGGCCAGCTGGCGGTGTCTGGGATCATGGTGGAGCGGAGGGCGCGAAATGTCAGTTCGAGGTCCCCCGCGTGGGGCACTCTTGGGACCGCCTTGGGCTGCCTTGGGGGGCTCTCGGGCCGTCTTGGGGCTCTCTTGGGCTGTCTGTGAATTTTCTTGGGGGCCTCCTGGGCCATCGTGGCGCGATCTTGGGGGCCCTGGGGCCAGCTTGGAGCGTCAAGGCTCCGAAAAGGGGAAAACTCTGGAAACTTCCAAAAACAAACGGGGAATTTATGATTTTCGCCTCTCGGGGCACGTCTTGAGGGCCTCTTGGGGCCCTCCTGGGCTGTCTTCTTGCACTGTGGCGCCTTCTGGGGCGTCTGGGGGGCCTCTTGGGGGCCAAGTGGCGGTGGCTGGGATAATCCTGAAGCGGAGGGAGCGAGAGGTCAGTTCGGGGCCCCTCCTGGTGGGGCCGTCTGGGGGGGCTCTTGGGCCGTCTTGGGGCGGGAGCTCTCTCGGGGGCCTCTTGGGCCATCTTGGCGCGATCTGGGGGGCCCTGAAGCCCGCTTGGAGCGTCGAGGCCCTGAAAAAATGAGAATGCTGAAACCCTTCAAAAACGCTAAAGAAATCAATGATTGTGGCCTCGTCGGGCTCTTCTTGGTGCCCCCTTGGAGCCCTCTTGGGCTGTCTTCCAGCACTGAGGGGCCGTCCGAAAGCCTTGTTGGCGACCTCTTGGGGCGTCTGGAGGCGTCTTGGGCCATCTTGGGGCCCTCAGAAGTCGTCCTGGAGCACCCCTGGGGCTGGCCCGGGCCAGTTTTGATCGCATTGACCCCCCACCTTTCTGGCACGCGGTTCCCCCCAGCGTTGATGACGTCGGGCTCCAACTTCACCTCCCGCATCTCGCTCAGCAGCGTTAGGGCCAGCTGCCACTGCTCGCCCTTCGCGCACGCGCTGATCCCATCGTTTGTCGGAGAGACTAGTGCTCACCAAGGTCGTCTTCAGGCGGCTCGACGCCTGCCCTCGACCACGGCTCGGAGCGTAGCGCTGCGGGCGGCCACAGTGGGCTCCATCCCTGCCTGTAGCAGCTTGCCGAAAAGCCACAGCGCATGCTGCCACGCCCCGTCCTTCTCGCAGCCGACGACTGCGGCCTCGTGAAACCTGTAGTCGGGCTCCACTTCTACCTCAAACGCCTCGATGAGAAGCGACAGGGCCCGCTGCCACTCCTTCCCGCTCCTGCACGCGTTGAATCCGGCGCTGTAGCTGATGACATCGGGCTCCAGCTTCCCTCTCCGCATCTCGCTGAGCAGCGACAGGGCCCGCTGCCACTGCCGCCCTTTACTGCACGCGCCGATCCCAGCGTTGTAGCTGATGACATCGGGCTCCAACTTCGACCCCAACATCTCGCTGAGCAGCGACAGGGCCCGCTGCCACTGCTGACTTTTCTCGCAAGCGCTGATCCCAGCGTTGTAGCTGATGACATCGGGCTCCAACTTCGATCCCAGCATCTCGTTGAGCAGCGACAGGGCCCGCTGCCACTGCTGACTTTTCTCGCAAGCGCTGATCCCAGCGTTGTAGCTGATGACATCTGGCTCCAACTTCGATCCCAACATCTCGCTGAACAGCAACAGGGCCCGCTGCCACTGCCGCCCTTTCTCGCAAGCGCTGATCCCAGCGGTGTAGCTGATGACATCGGGCTCCAACTTCGACCCCAACATCTCGCTGAGCAGCGACAGGGCCCGCTGCCACTGCTGACTTTTCTCGCAAGCGCTGATCCCAGCGTTGTAGCTGATGACATCGGGCTCCAACTTCGACCCCAACATCTCGTGAGCAGCGACAGGGCCCGCTGCCACTGCTGACTTTTCTCGCAAGCGCTGATCCCAGCGGTGTAGCTGATGACAGTGGGCTCCAACTTCGACCCCAACATCTCGCTGAGCAGCGACAGGGCCCGCTGCCACTGCTGACTTTTCTCGCAAGCGCTGATCCCAGCGTTTGTAGCTGATGACATGGGCTCCAACTTCGACCCCAACATCTCGCTGAGCAGCGACAGGGCCCGCTGCCACTGCTGACTTTTCTCGCAAGCGCTGATCCCAGCGTTGTAGCTGATGACATCGGGCTCCAACTTCGACCCCAACATCTCGCTGAACAGCAACAGGGCCCGCTGCCACTGCTGACTTTTCTCGCAAGCGCTGATCCCAGCGTTGTAGCTGATGACATCTGGCTCCAACTTCGACCCCAACATCTCGCTGAGCAGCAACAGGGCCCGCTGCCACTGCTGACTTTTCTCGCAAGCTCTGATCCCAGCGGTGTAGCTGATGACAGTGGGCTCCAACTTCGACCCCAACATCTCGCTGAGCAGCGACAGGGCCCGCTGCCACTGCCGCCCGTTCTCGCAAGCGCTGATCCCAGCGTTGTAGCTGATAACAGTGGGCTCCAACTTCGACCCCAACATCTCGCTGAGCAGCGACAGGGCCCGCTGCCACTGCTGACCTTTCTCGCAAGCGCTGATCCCAGCGTTGTAGCTGATGATGTCAGCTACAATGCTGGGGTCAGCGCGTGCGTGAAGGGCGAGCAGTGCCAGCAGGCTTTGGCGCTGCTGAGTCAGATGCGGGGAGCTAAGCTGGGCGTTGTGCGTGCGAGAATGGTTCTGTAGTGAAAAAGCTGCCCTCGAGCGCCCGCAGCGCCCCGGCGCTCTCCGACGGCTCCAGAGAGCCCCTCGGTGGCCCCAAGGCGGCTTCTGACAGCCCTATAAGACAGGCTTGAGACGCTCCAGAGCGCGCGAGGACGCCCGAGAGAACCCGCACGCAATCCCATGACAGCCCAAGACGGCCCGACGACGGGCCAGCAGGTCCTTCGGAAAACAGCGGAACCGGACCCGATGACAGTCCCCCGAGGCCAACATCATAGGTTTATTCTGTTTCTTTTATCGTTTTCCATGTTCTCGCCTTTTCCAGCCAGGAACGGCCCCAGACGGGTCCGGAGCCATCCCAGATCGCCCCAAGACGGCCCAGGAGGCCCCGCCAAGTGCCCCAAGGCGGCCCCAGAGGGCCCGAAGACTGCCCAGGAGAAGCCAAAGATAGCCTCGCAGAGCTCCTGGTGGCCCCCCAAGACAGCCCCAAGAGGGCCCCCGGAGCTGCCCAACAAGCACCCAAGCGAGCTCCAAGACGGCCCGAGACCCCCCGCATGGCTCCAGGACGGCCCAAGAGGCCCCCGAGACGGCCCAAGAAAGCCCCGAAACGGGCCAAGCTCCGGGAAGACCCCCACGAGGGCTCGAGGAGGGACCGAGAACCCTCCAGGGACCAGTCCCACATGCCCCAGAGTCTCCCAAGGGACTCCGATGGTTCTCAAGGAGTTCACAAGGAGAGTGCCTCGAGCCACGGCACCATTTCGCCGTCTCTCGAACCCCAAACGTCCCCAAGGAAGACTCGGACCCCCAAGGCAGGCCCCAGACCACTCCGAGATGCCCCACAGCCTTCCAAGAGACTCAGATAGTCCCCACGGAACTCCCAAGAGCGGTCCCAGGGCCTCTCCGAGATGCCCCAGATCGCCCAAAAGATTCCGACGCTTGCCAAGAGACCCCGATAGTTCCCACGGAATTCTCAAGAGCGGCCCCAGGAAGAGACTCCTATGGTTCCCACGGAGCTCCCACGAACGATCGCCCAGAGTCGCTCAAGACCTCCCCCCTACGGCCGAGTGGGAGTGACAGGGGGGACTTTCTCCTCTGATCTCTTTTTCCTTCGCTCATCAAGGCTCCAGCCGCTCTGGGGCATCCACTCCGCCTGATAGGGGCGACAGAGGGGAACCTGCAGCCACTTCGGCCGCTCCCCCCTCTGCGGCCACTTGGGGGTGACACGGGGGGGGGACCTGAAGACACTGCGGGGACCATTATTGCACTCCCCCCTACGGCCGAGTAGAGCCCTCGGTGGCGCCCAAAACAGCACCGAGACCACGAGATCCTTCCCTGGACCACTCCGAGATGGCGCAGACCCCTGGGGTATTCGAAGACAGGTTCCAGCCCCAGCTCCCGGAGCCTGCAGCAAAACCTGCAGCTCAGGAGTCTTTTGGGCGTTTGGGGGCTACGGGGGGTTCTGTTCGGGCGCCTTGGGTGCCTCTGGGGCCGTGTTGGGGCCTTCCGCATCTTGGGCTATCTTGGGGCGTCTTGGGCCGCTCCTGGGACCGTCTTGGGTGCCTCCTGGACGGTCTTGGGCGCCTCCTGGGCCGTCACGGGGCCGTCCTGGGCCGTCATGGGACCGTCTCGGGGCACTGTTGGAGCGTCTTGGGGCTCTCTTGGAGGCCTCGTGGGCCGTGCTGGGACGACCTCGCAGGGTCCTGGAGCCGTGTTGGGCCGTTCTAGGGCTCAGATGGCAAGAGCCCAAGAATCCTTCAAAAAGCAATAGGAAAACTATGATTTTGGCCGTCTCGGGCCTTGACGGGGAGTCTCCTGGGCCGTCTGGGGAGGCTTCTCGCCTGTCGTCGGGCACTCTTGGGCCGCCCTGGGGCTCGCTGGGGGTCCGCTCGTGTCGTCGGGGCGTCTCGTGGGCTGCTCTGAGCCGTCTTGGGGCCATCCGGGGCCCTCGAGCCTCCGTGGGGAGGCCCTCCGAAGCCGTCGTGGAGCGCCTCGGGGCCGTCCGGGAGCGCGCGGGGGGCCCGTCTCGGAGCGCTCTTTGGCCATCCTCGAAGCGCACCAGGGCCTGCTGAGTGTCGCAGGGGCCGCCGGGGCCTAGAAAAAGCCTGTCGGACCCCCGGTCGTCTCACACGCACCTGCCCCTGCACTGAACAGAGATGGCATTGGGCTCCACCTGCGACTCCCGCATCTCGCCAAGCAGCGACAGAGCTTGCTGCCACTGCCCACCCTTCTCAAACGCGCTGACCCCGGCATTGTAGCTGTGAACATCAAGATCCATCTTCGACTCCCGCATCTCGCTGAGCAGCGACAGTCCCCGTTGCCATTGCCCACATTTTCTGCATGCGCTGACAACCTCAAGGTAGTGTCTTTGGGCGAATGCCACGCGTAACCGAATTCCCTCGCGGAGCAATTGCACTGCTGCGCTCCACTGTTTTGTCTGGCCACATCTCTTTAACGGTAGGTCGAAAGAAGCATCGCTTCCTCGCGACCCTCGCTGGATCTTCAACATCCCAACTGATATGTCCGTATGCGTACGTGTATATCTCGTTGAATATGTATATGTATACAGAGTCTTCCAAATTGCACCACAAAGGCCAGAACACAAAACAAGCAGTCTGAGATGGACAACTTGAGCCAACAATAACTACGACAAAAAAACAAATAGGAGGGCGTAAGTCGGCTAATTGCACGTAAGAGTGACCCTGGGCAAAGGTGCCCTTTGGTGCGCGGCTGAACGGGGGACGCAGGGTGGTCAAACCTGGGCGCGCAAGCCGCTGCTACCGCTCCGCGCTGGGAAATAGGAGGACCCCATTGGGCCCGCATCAGAGGTCACTCCAGCGAAAGGTCACTCTCATGTGTCGTCGATCAAAGAGGACGTCCTCCTCCTCCTCCTCCTCCACCCCGTCCTCCTCCTCTTCCTCCTCCTCCTCCTCCTCCTCCCCCTCCTCCTCCTCCTCCTCCTCCTCCTCCTCCTCCTCCTCCTCCTCCTCCTCCTCCTCCTCCTCCTCCTCCCTCCTCCTCTTCCTCCTCCTCCTCCTCCTCCTCCTCCTCCTCCTCCATCCTCCGGTGTGGATTCGCTGTGTGGAAGTCCCAACATGGCGTTCTGGCACGATTCCAGATCCTCAGGAAGCAGCAGTCTGGTTGATCCGTGGCGTGGAGATTCCGAGAGTGATGTTTTGGCACGCGTCAAGGTCTTCAAACGGTTGTCTTCCAACGAGGCGGTTCCCTCGATGGAAATGAACCGCTGCAGGGGACTAGGAAGAGGGAGCTTGGAGGGAGGGTTAATTCCGACATCGTTGATGACTCTTGGGTTTACACTGGTCCTCCTCCTCCTCCTCCTCCTCCTCCTCCTCCTCCTCCTCCTCCTCCTCCTCCTCCTCCTCCTCCTCCTCCTCCTCCTTCTCCCCCTAGGAGGAAAGGCTGGACTGGAGAAGGCTTCGACGGCCGCCCCGGCCCGCCGAGCTGGCGCCCGGGCCGCCCGAGCGGGCGCGGGGCGGGCCCGGGCCGCCCGAGCGGGCGCTTCCCCGCAGGCCCCCGGGAGAGCCGCGAGGCGCGGGCGAGGCGCGGGCGCCCGGCGCGGGCCCCCAGGGGCCAGCGGGCGGCTCAAAGAGGGGGTCCGCAAGGGTGGGGCCCGGAGGATGGGAAGGGATGCGATCGCTGTCCTATCCGCTGTTTTGCCGATCGGCGCGGGCCCTCGCGCCCCCTCCTCCCCCCCGCCCGTGGAGCAGAGAGCTCGGCTGTCTTTGGCGCCTGGTTCAGGCAGGTGGAGCCTCCCCCACAGGACGCGCTGCCGCAAACCGTCGCATTAAGCAGAGGTCTGGAGCCAGACCCCGCCTCCCCCCCCTCTTCCGCCCAATGTCGAACCGCCGAATAAGAAAACGCTCACGATTCAAAGGCGGATTTGCATTGTCTGAGGCAACCCGCCCTTAGACCACCCTCCCTCAGGGCCTTATCTTTGAACCACCGAGCCAGCGAGGCGCGGAGGATGGATCCGGCGCGGCGGCAGAGAAGTTAGAGAAGGCCCGGTGATCCCGGCCAGGAGATGCCCATCTACAGCTGGAGGTCTGATCCAGAAAACTGTGAATCTTAAAACATATGAGCCAGCTTCCCAGAATTTTCACGAAACAGGCCAGGGCCAAGTTCTTACGTTAGCGCTGGAGGAGGTGGAGGAGGAGGAGGAGGCAGAGGAGGAGGAGGGGGAGGAGGAGGAGGAGGAGGAGGAGGAGGAGGAGGAGGAGGAGGAGAGGAGGAGGAGAGGAGGAGAGGAGGAGGAGGGGAAGGAGGAAGGAGGAGGAGGAGGAGGAGGAGGAGGAGGAGGAGGAAGGGGAGGAGGGGCAGGAGAAGAAGGATGAGGATGAGGAAGGGATGAGAAGGAGAAGGAGAAGGGGGAGGGAGAGGAGGATGAGAAGGAGGAGGAGGAGGCGGAGGATGATGATGCTGAGGAGAAGAAGGACGAGGAGGAGGAAGAGGAAGAAAAGGAGGACGAGGAGAAGGAGGCGGAGGAGGAGGAGGAGGAGGAGGAGCAGGAGCAGGAAGAGGAGGAGGATGAGAAGGAGGAGGAGGAGGAGGAGGAGGAGGAGGAGGAGAAGGAGGGGAAGAAGAAGGCGGAGGAGGAGCATGATGATGCAGAAGAGGAGAATAACGAGGAGGAGGAGGAAGAAAAGGAGGAGTATGAGGAGGTGAAGGGGGAGGGAGGAGGAAGAGGAGGAGTAGGAGGAGGAGGAGGAGAGGGAGAAGGAGGAGGAGGAGGAGGTGGATGATGGGGATGCTGATTAGGATGATGGTGATGGCAATGATGATGATGATGATGATGATGATGATGACGATGATGATGATGATTCTGATGATGATGATGATAATGATAATGATGATGATGGGGAGGAAGAGGATGATGAGGATGATGATGCTGCTGATGGTTACGATGCTGATAATGCTGATGCTGATTCCGATGACGATGCTGATGACGATAATGATGATGCTGATGCTGACAATGATGATGATACTGCTGGCGATGATGATGCTGATAACGATGATGATGCTAATGATTATGATGATGGTTATGAATATGATGGTGATGCTGATTCTTATTCACAGTGATGATGATGATGACGATGCTGCGGCAGCCGCTGAGGCTCATGATGACGATGGCGATAATGATGATGTTGCTGCTGATGAGGATGACGATGATGATGATGATGATGATGATGATGCTGCTGCTGCTGATGATGATGATGATGGTGCTGCTACTGCTACTGATGATGATGATGATGATGATGATGATGATGATGATGGTGCTGCTGCTGCTACTGATTATTCTGATTCTGATTCTGATGATACTGATGATGATAATGATGATGATGATGATGATGACGATGATGATGAACTATTCCCCAAACAGAGCTTGCCTCTCTAGGGGTCCTAACATATTCATATGGTTAGGTGAGGTATGGCGCCGATTTCGGCGGCCCGGCCTGGTGCTGGGATGACCGTGGGGGTTTCTAAGTGGATAGGGGGGTTACAAGTGGATGCCAAGGTGGGTTATGTCTTGCCAGCCTGGCTCATAAGTGGGTTACAAATGCCCTGAGTGGCTTAGGGGTTTAACGATCCGGGCTAGATGGGCCGCGCCCACTTCGCGGAGTATCTAAACCCCCCTAAGCCACTCGGGGCACTTGTAACCCGCTTATAGACCAAATTGGGCCAGATATAACCCACCTTAGCATCCACCTGTAACCCCCCTATCCATGCACTTAGAAACCCCCACGGTCATCCCAATGCCTGGGTGCCCGGGTGCCTGGGTGCCCTGGTGCCCGGGTGCCCGGGTGCCTGGTGCCTGGGTGCGCGGGTGCCCGGGTGCCCAAATGCCCGGTTGCCCGGGTGCCGGGGTGCCTGGGTGCCGGGTTGCCCGGGTGCACGGGTGCCCAGGTGCCCGGGTGCCTTGTAGCCCTATAGCCCTATAGCCCTATAGCCGTATAGCCGTATAGCCCTATAGACCTACAGCCCTATCGCCCTATAGCCCCAGAGCCCCATAGCCGTAGAGCACCATAGCCCCGTAGCCTTATAGCACTACAGCCGTATAGCCCTGTGGCCCTATAGCCCTATAGCCCTATGAAGATTCGGATTGCGGTTTTTCTCCAGTATCATAGTCAGTGATGATGATGACGATGCTGCTGCAGCCACTGAGGCTCACGACGACGATGGTGATGCTGCTGCTGATGATGATGCTGCGAATGCGGATGCTGCTGCTGTTGCTGCTGCTGGTTATTAGGATGATGAGGACGACAATGCCGATGCTGATGCTGCTGACGATGATGATGGTGATGCTCCTGATGATGATGCTGCTGATGATGATGCTGCTGCTGATGATGAAACTGCTGCTGCTGATGATGCTGCTTATAATGATGGTAATATTGATGCTGATGCTGCTGATGATGATGAAAGTACTGCTGCTACTGCTGCTGATGAAGCCGCTGATGATGATGCTGATGCTGATGCTGAGGCTGATGACGTTGTTCATGATGATGACAATGATGATGACGATGCTGCTGCTGATGATGCTGATGATGCTGATGCAGATGCTGCTGCTGATGATGCTGCTGCTGATGGTGGTGGTGGTGATGATAATGATAATGATGATGATGATGCTGATGGTGATGATGATGACGACGACGATGATGATGATGATGATGCTGATGATGATGATGATGAGGAGGAGGCTGCTGCTGATGATGAGGAGGAGGAGAAGGAGGTGGAGGACGAGGAGGAGCAGGGAGACGAGGAGGAGGAGCAGTTGGGAGAGGTGGTGGTGGTGAGGAGGAGGAGGAGGCGGAGGAGGAGGAGAAGGAGGAGGGGGAGGAGGAGGAAGGAGGAGGAGGAGGAGGAGGGGGGAGGAGGAGGAGGAGGAAGAGGAGGAGGACAAAGCTCCTGACACCGTCACGTCGCGAAAAAAGAGTCGCAACCCTCCTCCTCCGCCTCATCCCCCTTCTCCCGCTCCTCCTGCTCGTCCTCCTCCTCATCCTCCTCCTCCTCGCCAAACTCCTCCTCCTCCTCCTCCTCAACCTCCTTCTCCTCTTCCTCCTCCTCCTCCTCCTCCTGCTCCTGCTCCTCCTCCTCCTGCTCCTCCTCCTCCTCCTCCTCCTCCTCCTCCGACTCCCGTCTTGATGCGCAACCTTTCGCGATGCCAGGATGTCAGGGCCACAAGCCTGGAAGCTCCCTGTTCCAGAGTTTCGACTCCATCCGCTCGGACCTGACTGGGGAGGCCCAGCACGATC